CTGCATACTTTTGGGACTGCAGTGCAGCTTCTTGCCACTAGGCCACCAGAGCTCCCAGATGCCAATCTTGCATGCTGTTCCCCTAAATCCAAATCCCATTTCCCGTCAGCCTCAAGAATCTGAGTCAGTCCTTTTGAGGTGCACGTGGTCCCTTTAAGAGAGACTTAAGAGTTCTCCAAACACAAGTTAGCCAATCAGCTAGGGAGCCTGGGGCTGTAGGGCTCCAGGCTGAGTTCCCACCCCCACTCCCAGACCACACTGTCTCCCAGAAGAGAGATGTTCATGGCAAACAAAGAGTTGTTGTTTGTTAGGTGTTAAGTGTAATTTACAGGAAGCCCATGAACAACAGATCTGAGTCCTGTCCTATCCTGTGCTATCCTCATCATCTCTGACACACGTGAGCCGTTGCTACACTCACTGTCAATCCATCTCATTGGGAGTCTTCTCTTCCACTGGCTCTCAACCTTTCCAAGCATGATGTCCCTTTTTAAGGAAGAACCTCGCCTAGCCATATGGTCCTCTAGTCCCTATCTATTTTAAAACTCTGCTTTCAAAAGTACTTCTACGTTTGTAGGTATTTGTTCCATTATAATTCCACTTTGGGTACCTAAATCTGTATTTGGTTTTCTACTGCTGCTGTAACAAATGACTACAAATTTAATGACATAAATGTATTATCTAATAGTTCAAGAATTCAAAATCGTCACTGGACTACAATCAAGGTCTTGGCAAGCTTGCGTTCCTTCTGGAAACTCTAGGAGAGAGCCAGTTTCCTTGTCTTTCCAAGGCTGCTTGCATTCCTTGGTGCCTGGCCTTTTCCTTCAGCAGTCATATCACGTCAGTCTCAGCTTCTGTTTTCACATTCTCTCTCACTCTGACATTCCTCCCACCCTCTTACAAGGACTTATATGATCACACGGGCCTACCTGCAGAGCCACAATAATCTTACAATCTCAAGATCTTTAACTTAAACATTTCTGTAAAATCTCTTTTGCCACAGAAGAGAACATATTCGCAAGGTCTAAGAATCAGGATGCAGACATCTTTGGGGCCCATTATTTCACTTCCCATAGAAGGTGAGGATTGCTTGGCCAGCCCCAAGTCTAGCCCAGCAAGGCAGCCCAGGGCTGAGGGGTTACCAGGGGGCTCGGCCACTGTCTTGGCTAACCCCCTGGCTGGGGGCCAGAGCTCCAGGAAACGTGGCGCCTGCCCCAGCTACCGCCAGGAACAGTCTGTTCTCCTGGCATGGCCAATGCATAGGGGTCAGGTGCACTTGAGCCCTTGAAGTTGGTGCAACTCAAACAGCTGCCTGGCTTGGGCTGGTGGCCAGGCCTTCATGACTTTCTCTCCCTGGTGGCCAACAGATAGGAGAGCTATCATTAAATCAGACACGAACCATGTGGAGCTGCAGCCTTATTCTAGAAAATGTGTGCACCACAGGCTCACTGGTAGCTGTTTAGTGAATCTGGGGTATACCTGAACTACAAGGCACCCCAGAGGGATGAGGGAGACAGAATGGTTTCCAAATGCTGGGGATAAAATATCACTAGGGGAGAAGTATGGGTTAGAGGCAGGAGGTGACCCAGAGGTCACATGTCCCAGAGGAGACAGTCTTTGGGTTCAATACTGATAGGGGATGGTTTAGATCGGCAGCGGTGAGCAGGGACATTCCTGGTGCACTTCCTGGGCAAAGAGAAGGAGATTTGCTCAGGGAGGCTGAAGTCCAGCCAGCTCAGTAGAGAGAAGAATCAGAAGGCAGACATGGAATGGGATGTTGGCTTGTAAGGCTAAAAGGATTTCTCATCCCAGGCTGGTAGTTCTCAAGACCTGACAGAAGGAACCTTTTGTTCTGACAGAACCATATTCAGAGCTGAGGGGCCCTGGGAGCTGACCCTGGGCCTCTCCCTTAGCCGCTTTTCCCTACTTCTTCCAACCATCCTCTGCAGGACATAAGGTTGGGGAGCCAGGCTTTGCTTGTTTGGGACAGCCAAGGTGGTCTGGAGTCCAGACAGAAGTGAGAAAGTAGAAAATGTGTACTTTTTGTATTTAGGAGTTCAGGGGGCACATTTCAAAAGAATAGCTGGGTGGTTCTCATGGAAACACCTGTTGTCAGCTGGGAAATACAGCTCACTGGAAGGCAAGGTTTCAACTTTTCCAGAAGAAAGGGTGAGGTTGCTTCCCCTGGGTTCATTCCTCAGGACTCCTCCTCCAGGGCATCCCGTGCTCCGGGCTCTGGCTGAGGGTCGCCAGCCTCCACCAGCAGCTCCACATTCTGCTGCTCTGCCTCCATGGGCTCCAGGACTCAGGCAGAGCAGGCAGCCTGCAGTGGAGAGGACAACTCACTAAACTGGAGCCACTGGCTGTCCTGGCTTGGGCCTTGGGACACTGGAGCCTGATGAGGAAGGAGAAGGAGATGCTGAAGAGGAGGCCTTGGACTGTCAAGCTAACAGTCTTTTGATGGCTCCATCTTCAGTGGACAGAGAGAAGGCCAGTGCCTGAGACGATCTCTTCTATCTCTTCTGAGGGCTGTGTCTCCTGCATGAGAAGGTGTTGGTGTTGGGCACCAGAGAGACGTGTGAGGGTGAAGGACCCATCTTGCACCCAGCCTTCAGGACTACAAGAAAATATCCCCAAAGGACCATCCCAAGGGCTCCCTAACTCTCCTTTCTCAGACCTGGGATCCAAGGCTGAGGAAGGTGAAAGTCACCCGCCCAAGGATACTGAGAGGTGGACCTCAGGTCTGAACCCAGAGTAATAGAATTGTGATGATGGCACTTAAGCTTCAGAGAATCCCAGTCCCTCGTCACGCTTGTAGCTGATGGCTGAGGCCCCAACCTGCTTTGTCTAAATGTCTGTTCCGACGGAGTCAAGCCCACAGTTTTCTGGAAAGGAAGCGGTCCCCAAGGTTGGCTCTCATCCCAGTGACCTCCATCTGCCCTTGCACCATCACTCTCCATCATCACACTCTCTTGGGATGCCAGGCCTGCATGTTCGCCACAGCTGTTCCTCAGTAACGGGCCTGAGAACATCAGGAAAGCCGGCGCTGGCTGAGGTGTGACCCAGGCTGTGGGACAGGGGACGAGGGATCACAGTGAGGAGCAGGACAGACACCCAGAGATGCTGGTGAAGATGTGAAGAGGGCTGGATGTGGGGGAGAAAGAACATTATTGCAATGAGCTTGGCAGGCAAAGGTGTGAAGATCTGAGCACACAGGGAACTCAGGAAGTGAGGAGCCCGTTCTGGTGGTGCCAGACTCTGCCCTTCTAGGTGCCTCTGGAGCCCTAACAAAAGGGAGCTCTGGGCTCCTCCTCAAAGGATGCTGGGGCAGCTGGGGTCAATGCTGCCGGGACTAGTTACTGAGCAAGACGCCACAGCCCTGTGAGCTGTAGCCTGGCCTCTGTCGAGGTGAATGAGATCCTTACCCACGACAGAGGACTGAGTGTCTCAGGCTGGGTGTGACCCCAGCAACAGACTCCCCAAAGGCAAGGACCTAACTCCTCATCTCCACTTGCTCACCTCTCATCAGGGAAACTGAGGCAGGCCTTGTCTTCTCTTGGAATCTCAGAATACCCACCTGAGGAATGGGCATGAAGAGGCCAGCCTGCATACTACCTGGCTGACAGAGTAAACTGAGGCGGTCTGGGAGTCAAGAGAGCCAGCTACTAAAAGGGGATCCTCAAGGTCCCCCTGCAGGGCACAGCTCTGGGACCCACATCTGTCTTCGGGAGATACGGCCCACTAGACTACACTGCCTCCGGTCATCATGCTACCAGGCCAGGCCCTTGAAAATGCCAGGATAGGAGTGATGCAAATGAGTCAACTTGGGCTGTCATGTCCTTCAGCACCCCCTCAGGCCAGCCCCCACCAACCTGCAGGCTCCCTGTCACTGTGGAAGGAAGGCTGGGCCTTTCAGCCTCCTCTCAGTCATGGGCCTGTACAGACCAGAGCTGGGACGGGAGTTACACCCTGGACCCCACTCTGCCTTGGCTTCTTATTCTCCTTGGTCTCAAATAGGGGCAGATAGGTTACTTGACGTTCAAGGTCAGCCCGGAAGGGATGTTTTAGCTAAAAACCTTTGGAACAAAAAGTTAACAAAAGTCCTGTTCATTCCTCACTGCCTCAAGTCCTCAGTTAAGTGACTGCATATGTTATCCCGGAGCTGTGCAGCAAGGACTCTCAGTCCCACCCCCAGAAGCCATGAGGAGGTCAGTCAAAGTTTCTGTGTTCTGAGCCCAGGTCCAGTTAGGGGAGTGTTGGGGGTGGGGGAAGGGAGTGTGGGCATATCCAAAAGTAAGGGACTCCTTGTCAACCTCTGGGACTGAGCTGCTCTGAGCCAAGTCCCAAGGCATCCAGGACCAGGCGCGGGCACCCACTTGCCTCCCTCCACACTGCTCCTTGCCCGGGCAGGAAGGGACCCACAAAGCAGAGTAACAAAAACATTAGGTCACTATTTATTGTCCTTCACTGGGCATATCTCCCAATACTCTCCAACAGGGAATGCAGGACTGGGACTGTCTCCTGTCTACAGCAGAGATACTGAGGAACCTGACCTTGGCCACAGTGATGTGACACGATGCAGACTAGAAACCAGGTCAACCCAGTGCCTAAACTGAGCTGTGAGTGTCCCTGCTCTTTGCTGCCCCAGGAAGGATACAGCTACCCCTAAGTCTCCCAGAAATGTGGAACATAGGAAATCACAAAGCCAAAGGAAATGCTGGGAGCAGCTGAGATTCTAGGAGGTTCCATCTACCTCCTTCCAGGGAGCATTCTAGAAAGGAAGGCCAGGCACTCAGGCAGATGGAAGACCTGGCCAAGTGTCCACAAGAGAGGCACATCACGGTCTAGACTTCTGGATATGCAGAAACCTGGGCCTGAGGAAGCAAGCATGAGGGTCTGGTTAGTGCCTGGGCCCTGGGGCATGAGTGGTGAACACCGCAGTTCCCACAGCTGAAGCCGTATTCTGGCCTCAGCCACTACAGACAGAACAAATGTGCATGGCCTCACCTCCCACAGAAGTCCTGGCGCACAGTCACAAGACTGAGGTGCAGGTCAGGCTGACTCCGGAGCCAACTGTCGACCAGCTCTGGGTGCCTTGGGTCCACTTCCAAGAAGACACTTCTATTTGGGAGACAGAAGCTGAGTCGGTTCAATTGGGCAGCACCATGACCTTTACTCCTGAGTTTCCAGGGCTGAGAGGGGTGGGGGCAGGATTGCCAGGACACACTGGGAGGGAAGGAGGCTGCTCAGGGTGAACCCAGAAGACCCGCTTTCCCTGTACCCAGAGTCCTTCAGGAGTTGGGGTGCCAGGTTCAGGATGTGAACAATGATGTCCATGCCCTCCTTCCCACCATCCAGGGCTGATGGATCTTCATAGCTGAAGAGGAAACAGCGGTAGGTGAGAGCTTAGGAGAGAAGGGTGTCTGAAAAGTATGGAGGAAGGGGTTTTGTGGACACTCAGGTCTAAGGGGCAAATCTGAGGACCCAGAAGAGGATACCCCAAGCAGATGGAAGCTCTTAACCCCCTACCTTTTACAGGTAACACCCTGCCTCCCCCACATTCATTGATTCCCATCTACAGACAGCCAGGGGACAGAAGTGTCCCCCTCTCCTCCATCCCACCATGTGTTCCTGGGCTCTCCTTGGCTCTCAGCCTGTTTGGAAGCAGATGGCACTGTACAAAGCTGAGAGCAGAATTTTCGTCCAGTTTTCTCACTAAAATCCTCTGAGACCTTGGCCAAGGCACCTTCTCTCTCTGGGCCTCAGTCTTCTGCCAAACGGTGCTATGTGTGTGGTGTGTAGGCACCCGAGACTGACAATGACTGTCCTCATCTTGTGGGCAACTTACTCTGAGCTCAATACTTCATCCATTCTTTCGTCATTACTGAGCCTCACCATGGCCATGTAAGTCTCTGCCTCTCCCCTTTCACAGGTAAGAAACTGAGGCTCTGAGAGGTTTGGTGGCTGTCCCATGGTTTTAAGTGGGAAGGTCTAAGCTGAACCTAGGTAAGGTTGCCCGCTTAAATGTGTACCTTTCCACCCCACTGCCTGCTTGGCCCCTCCCCTCCATCCATTCTACAAGGCCTTATTCTCAAAGCCTGGCCTCCCCACCCCACCCCATCCAGCACCTGCGGATTTCAGGAGCCAATTGTTCCATGTCCTGTTGAAATACGTAGGGAGGATTGCTGACCACTAGGTCCACAGGGCCCCAGGACAGAAGGTGTGCCCAGTTCCTCTCTGTGACAAGAGAAGAAAAACATCAAAGGCTGGTCCACTGGGAGAGAAGAGGTGGTTGCTCAACCTGCCATCATGCCCCCCTGGGTAGCCGGTGCCCTCAGCCATGTCTTGGTCCTTTCTCTGGGCCTAAGAACCTAACCTAGTACCCAGGATCCCCAGCTGGTGGCCTGGCCAGAAGCATCCATGCTCTGTCATTTTAGTCCTTCATTTAAAACACCTTTCTGTCAAAAACCTGTTCAATAAGCCAGATTCAGGTCAAGTGCCACCTCCAAACAGCCCTCTCTGATTGGCAGCACCTTCCTTTGTGCCCCTACTGGCCTTAAGCAACATGGTCTAGAATGCCTGCCAGCCAAGTATTCTGGTCCTTAGGCCCTTCTCTTGAGCATCTGTTTATCTCCATTTCTCTCGAGCATCTGTTTATCTCCTCCTAACAAGCAGGCCCTCATTAAACTTATTAATTACACAGGATTCAGAGACAGTAAGAAAAACCCTATGGCTGGTCCCTTCTAAGGTAAGATCAGTCCAGGTAACACACATAGCAACAATGACTTTTCTGTTCTTAGCAAGGAACGACCCCTCTCCCTGGGAAGAAAGGTAAAGAAGTACCTAAAGTCACATCAAACGGGACTATCCGAATCCTGTCCTGCAACTGGAGCCTGGAGGGATAAGGAGAGGGGTAGGATGAGCATGATGGGCTATTTCCTTGGCTACAAGGGCCAGGAGGGACACCAACCCTTTCTGAGACCACTAAGAACCCAGTGCTCATTTATAACCTATGTGAGTCTGACCCCCACTCCCTCATCCATTTTCAGGACTGAAAACTAGATATTCTTACCTGGGTAAGAAATGACACCAGATCCCAAAGTCCAAACACCCTACCCTGGTCCCCAGGCCCCCTACCTCTGAGCATTCTCGTGGGTCAGGCGGATGGCAGCCTCTCCCTTATCCACAGCAATGACTCGGCTCTGCCCCAAGAACAGAGAAGGGTATATGGGCTGCTGGGTGTCCAGGAAGGTGAGGCTTATGAAGCAAAGTCCTCTTCACCACCCCCCCAACCAGGAGAGGAAGGAATGTCCAACAGCTCTTCCCAGGGTTTGGTGAGTCATGGGAGTTAGAGGCTGTGATGAGAACAAGCTGGGGCAGCCTGTTGTCCCTCCTCTGACTGTTCCCCTGATGTGCTCCTGAGGGGTGGGTGGGATGGCGAGTGTCGTCCAGTCAGGGGTAGGGGGCTGGGGTGCAGAGGAGGCTCACCTTGGGGAGCTGGCTCAGCAGGCTGAGGGAGATGGCTCCTGATCCACAGCCCACCTCCAGGATGAGGGGGCCACCTCGGGTATCTGCAGCCCAAAGCCTCTGGGCTTCCACTTCCAGCACCCAACTGACCAGTTCCTATGGGCCAGAATGGACACACAGTTGAGTGTGTGTGTGTGTGTGTGTGTGTGTAAAGGAGGAAAAGCCAAAACCAGGTTGGATTCCACTGTCAGCTAGGTCCATGGGCGATCCCCTGCCTCTCCATGCTTTAATTTCCCCATCTGCAAAACTAAGCACAGCTGGAAAGAACCCACCTCAAATGGGTGTGGTGAGGACTATACAGAACCAGTCATAAAATACCAATTTCATCTGATACAGTGTAAGTGCTTAATAAACCCTAGCTAAGCCCTTTTCAATCATGCGCTCATTTTATGCTCACAGCAATGAAAAGAACCATATGATTTCCAGACACTCCCTTGGCATCAGGTCCTGTTTCCAGAACTTTCCCAGTGGTAGCTATGAGGACAATGATGCCCAGGGGTCAAGGTCTGCCCAGAGCCTGGCCTGTATCTCCAGGTGGCAAGGACACAAGCTTGGGAGGAAAAGAGGGGCTTCAGGGTGAAGGAAGGCTATATCTAGGCCAACAGGACAGAGAATTCCCTCCATGGTGGAGTTGGTCATAACTCTACCTGAGCCCCTTATCCAAAGCAAGCTGCAGGCACAAAGAACAGGGCCTGGTATGGTGCAAGTGGCCCAAGTTGCACGGTGCCAGCCTTGGTGGCTGGGGGACACTTTCGGCCATTTTCGTTATGAAAACAAGGTTTCAAGTTCCCCCTGCCCACTTCTTCCTGCAAGGACTGTGCAAAGATGCCAACATAAGGGTGGGGTGTGCAAGAGAGAAGACCACTGATCCTCAATGCTGATGCTAAAGATCGGTTCCCAGCTGGCAGTGAGGGGTTCCTGAGGAGTTATGAAGTCAGGAAAGGACAGCTTAGCTTATTCTCAAAAGTGTCCCCATGGATGTGACAGAAGGGTCCCCCATAAGGCTCTTGGGGTCCCAGTTTCCAGCAAGTCTGGATAAAGGGCCTAGGGGTTCAGAAAATGGATGCTTCATACATCTGAAAAGAAGGGTCACCTCCTCCAGAAAGCCTTCCCCAACTATCTCACTACCCAAGGTTTCCTTACCTGATTCTAAGATCTAGGCTGGGGTTTGCCTCTTCCACCAGTCGCTGAGAAGGCATGGTGAAAAGCCCGAGTCTGCCCCCCACAGCCCACAAAGGGGCCTCTGAGCTACTTCACAAGGCTGAGCGAGGTCCCTATGGTCCAGGAAGACATGCTCTGAGCCTAAGACTAACAGCTCCCCTGAAACTTCCAACCAGCCAGGCCCCAACTAAGCAGAAGTCCCTAGTTCCCTCAGGCCCACTTTTCAAATGTGCTAAGGTTGAAGAAGCATCTCATCCCTGAGGTCTTCCAACTCCACGTGCAAAACTATCCATTCTAGTGGTAGCAAGTTCAAGGCCAGCAGGTTTGACTCTGTTTGAAGCCCCTTCCTCACCAAGTTTATCACTGCGTACTAGTAGTGCAAAGGAGCCTGCCTCTGGGAGGAGATGGTTTTCATGCACTCCTCCCACTAGCCCTGTGCTGGGCACTATGAGACTGCTGAGCAGGGTGAACGGGGGTGGAACTGACAGAGGCCGGCAGTCTCGGCTGCAGCTGAGAACCTGTGGTGTCAGTGGTGAGGCCACGTGCTGAGAGGCCAGCCAGGCAGTCAGGGCTTGTCATGGGTATGAGTGTCTCTCAGTTTCCCAGCCACAAGCAGACCTTCTCTGGCTGGAGGAAGACCCTTCAGTTAGCCACAGGGGCAAGCCACCTCACAGAGACACCCTCAACCTCAGACAAACCAGACATGTCACATCAGTGGTCACCCCAGGCCAGGTGTGAGGCTGAGAGACTGGGCCCCAGCCCCGTCAGCAGCCCCCTGCCACTCCCTTAGACACCAGGCCACAGGAGGCTCATGTTGGCTGCTGGTTACCCACCAAGGCTGGGGGTAAAGGTGGTGACCACTCCCAAGAAGAAAAACTCTTTTCCCACCCACTGACAAGCTCCTCTCGGTGTCTGAAACTGGGAGCTCTTTGGGAGAAGCTGAGAGCTGAGCTGGTCACAGGCCCATGGCGCCTGGTTCAAGTGAATGTAGGAAAGGTCCAAAAACACAACAGGGTGTGGCAAGTGGCATACGAAAAGGCAGGCGCACACAGCTGATTGCTCTGCCTGGAGACACTACTCTAATGTGTACCTCATAATTTGCCCCAAGACCTCAATAGGACCTAAATGTCACAAGCACCCTCCATTAGGATGGTGACCTTGGCAGGAGAGCCCCAGGAAAGTGGCATGGTCTACAAATCACAGACAGGGCACCCACAAAGCCTCACCGTACCACACTGGGCAAGAATGAGTCATATCCCCAGCCTTGAGTTTCTCACTGTACGTACCACCAGGCTTGGAACTGGGCCATCTCCCCACCCTCTGGAAAAACCCAACTTGCCCAGCTTTCTTGCCACCTGCAACCTTGCACTTCAGACTTCTGCACCCATTATCAGAAACATGATCCCCTCCCCTGCACCCATTCTCCCCACTCCCTGCCACAGGCCACGTCTTCTCAAGTTCTTGATAAGGCACCCTTCAACTCAGCTTCACATTGGTGCAAACCTAGCAGGTTCTCAGAAATGTGTGTACAGTAAGGTGAGGCCCCAACCTCCCGACCACAGCTCTCGCCTCTGCTCTAGGGCTGCTCTGCTGGCCCAGACCCACTCAGGAAAGGGGTGGGCCATGTGGAAGGCGGAAGTCCACACCCAATCCTCAGAACCCCAAGATGCATGATTGGTCCAGGTCAGCTCTCTGGGGACTCAGAGGTCACCATGTTTGCCACCATCCTATGCCCTGACTTGTGGTCAGTGATGAGTGACCTCCTATCAGAGGTTACACATTCAGAGAAGCCACAGAGTGGCCAATAAAAACCCTGAAGGTGGAAGGTCACATTCTATTCTAGACCCCATTCCAGCTCATACCAATCTCACACAGGGCAGCTCCACGTAGGGTGTGTGCGGCTACCCCTGGGTACCCAGGTGCTGCCCTCATGTTGCCCCGCCTGGCTTTCCTGTGACCTCAGCAATGCCTCTGATTCTCTGCTGTCCCTGTCCTGGCATTGGGTGGTAAAGCAAGGACTTTGCCTCCCAACTTCACGATGTGGGGGAAGGAGGGTCTCTTGGTGGGCTCAGAGGCTAGAAGAGTGAAGGGCTGGAGCAGGTGGGCAAGGTCTGACCTTTCCTAAGAAGGTTTACGTGCCCAGATGCCTTTCTACAAATGCCCCTTCTCACAAGCCGTCCAACCTCCCTCACCCCACCACACACTTGGTTTTCTCTCCCTCACTCCCAGCTCTGTCACTGACAAGGTGGGAGGTGGGGTGTGAAGCCCTAGAACAGCCACGGAAAGGTCCTGTCAGGAGGCTGGCCTAAAGATGCGTGCAGGGCAACACACCTTCAGTCCTAAGTGTTTAGGGAACAAGTACAGGTAAGGTGGGTCTAATGAGGATCACTAAATCAAATTCTCTATCTAGTCTAGTAACTCAACCCTCTCATCATCTGGGCCCAGAGTGGGTTTCTGCCTGCTGTAGGTCACACAGCTGAGACTGGCCTTCCAAGTGTCCAGCTCTTTATTTTGTTCACACATCCTGAGAACTTCTGGAGAATGTGTCTCCCACAGGTAAAGAGGCCTGGGGACCCTCTTGAACCCCATGAAGACAACAGCTCCCAGGAAAATGGCTGGAGCAGGGTGGACACTCAGTGAGCAGCGGGAGTTTGGAGCACCCTGGTCAGGATCAGATGAGTGGCCAGTAGGAGACTGGAAGGAAGGCCACTGCCCCTGAATACACCAGAGCATAGCAGTCATGGATCCTTGACGCCCTCTGGAGTAAGTCTAGGGAAAGACAGGTGCCTGGAACTCCGCATTTCTCTTCATACTACACTCACCTCTGTCTCTGGCCGCGGGATGAACACTGGGGGTGCCATCTTCAGATTGAGTCCCTGGAAGTCCCACTCCCCAAGGATATACTGCACTGGCATCCTGCGGAAAGGGGGTTGCCAGATGCTGATCAGGTACAAGAGCCAGGACCGGACCTGCATACCTGCACTTGGGTTGTGGGAGACCCTAAAAGCCAAACCTATCTCCTTTGTCCTAACTTCTTAGCTCAGGTCTTCTCTTCCTCCTTCCATTCCTATTTACTTCCCTGATACTCTCTTGCCATTCCTCCAAACTGACACCTCTCCAAATCACCTCCTCCCTGACCATGGGCTTGATGGGACTTGTGGAGACCAGCTCCTCACATAAGAGCCCCAAGTCTTGGCCCATGGGCGCTCACCTGTGCAATCTTTGACTGCTCAATTCCTGGATGCACTGTACCTGCTGAGGGGCCAGGGGCTGGGTCCAAAGTGCCGGCTTTAGGCTCTGAAACTGATCCCAGAGAGGATGTGAGTAGTTGCTGCCATGAGCCCTTGGATCCCAACTGGGTTATAGGTTCTTGCCACTTGCATCATCCTTGCCTTCCTAGCATGCAGGTACCATAAAAGCGTCTTGGGTGAGTGAATAAATATCTAAAATACTCATTCCTTCAGAAAAATCTCACAGCTCTCAGCTAAACTAGGGTTATGCAGGTGGTGGCAGGTGATAAGCTCACCTTCTCTAGTAGAACAGAAAACCCTAAAAGTATCTTTCTCAATGTCATCCCTTTTTCCACCCTTCCCACCCTCCTGAAATCATTGCACTTAACTGTTTTGGCTCCAAGGACATGAGCCACGATGTACTCGCTGGATTCCCGGGCCTCAGGAATGCCTCTCTTTTCAAAGACCGCTGTCCAGTGGCTGACCAATTCTGTGGCATTTACTAATCCAGCCAGAGGTGAATAGGGTGGACATGAGCTGAAGGTCCAACCCTGGCATCCTCCTTTCCTTCCTAGGCCAGACAGGAGGCCCCACAGCATTCGGCCCCAAAGCTTCATATTTCAGGGAAAGGCTCTCTGGAGTGTTTCATAGGTTTTCCTTGTGATGTCAGCTTTCCAAAATATTCCGGGTCGTCAGTTGTGGCTGCTACCCTGGTCTGGAGAGAGAGGAGGACCAGGAGAGTAACTGAACTTTGGGTGACTCCCACTCCTACCCAATTCAGACCCAGGACTTGCTTTCCACACATTGCTTGGAAGGGGCATGCTCCTATTCCATCAGCTCCTAGAATCTATTTCATACCTTCACCCAACCTATTTGTTCTTTTCTTGACAAGTTTCGTGCACTTCATTTTTGGAGTTAAAGTGGGTGGAATCTATAGCTCAGTCTCACCTCATGCATTGACAGACGGATTTTAGAGTCAGGTGGATCTGAATTTTATCCAGCAAATGTGGGCTTGGGTAAGTAAGTCATTCCTGAGTTCCCATTTCCTCATCAGTAAAATGCAGAGAATAACAGCAGCCCAAGGTCAGCAGTGCATTAGCCAGTGAATGTCAAGGGCTCAGTTGGGAGTTCAGCACTTAAAGCTGGAACTTAATATTAACTGCTATAAATTAGTGTTAGGAAGCTCCAGTGGCCTAGTGGGGAGGGAGCTGCACTGCCAAGCCAGAGGCAATCAGGTCAATTCCAACAGCTGCTCCCTGGGAGTAAAATGGATAATCTCCTCCTATTCGATTTACAGAGAAAATCGCCTCGAGAGTCAGTTATGAGTAGATTCCGAATAAACAGCAATGAGTTTTTAAACTAGTATTACAAGGGGAGGAAAAATAGTTGTTTTTTTTTTTAAAAAAATAGTTTTGACTGAAAGTTTTGCTTCTAACATTTTGTATATTGAAAATTTTTCTCCCAATTAATTCATCTCAGTCATCAGCATAAATTACTCGTAAAAAAAGGTTACACTTTTTACAAACGATTATAACTTTTTATTTTTATATTTAAATTGCAACAAGCTTAACTAAAAAAAAAAAATTGAAACCCCGTAGTCCCCTTTCAGACACATCAAGTTCTAACCATTATTTATTTTTTTAATTATTTTTGTGTGAGTGTATCGTCAAATCACATCTGACTGGTACAGGAGGAGACTGTCCCTCCTTCCCTGGCAGAGCATCTGATGGATTCGAACCATGCGCCTCTGGGATTGTAGTTGCAGCTCCTTGCCACTAGGCCACCAGAGCTCCCCCATAACCACTATTTATTGATTGTCTGCTAATTGTTTCTTCAGAAATAAATAACTCCCATTTCAGAGGGAATACAGACTCAGAGTGAAGTCAGCTACGAATTGGTCATCTGGATGCGAACCAGAACTTCTGTCAAGGGGTAAGATCTCCTTTTACCACTTGTGCACGTGACATCTTTAGTGACACAGGAAGGGCAGTATCCTATGGGAAAACGGGGCTGGTCTGATCTGAAGGGCACTGAACTCGGGGAGACCCTACCTCGATCTCCACCTCTAGTCCGTACCTGCCTGGGGGGCTGCCCCACCTGCTCTCAGGTGTGGAGACGGTGTCTCGGGTCGAGCTCAGGAACGAGGGCGTCCCGATGTCAGGTTCCTCGGACGTCTCGCTTCCGGGGATGGGCGCATCTGTAAAAAGGGCTCGGGCGGACCCGACCGCCACAGCTCTAGTGTTCCTAGTGCCGCCAAACTCCACCTGGGAGATCCCATTCCCGGTCAAGGGGAGGCTGTGCCTGTCACGCCCTTTCCGCCCGCAAATCCACGCATGAGTAAGGGCGTGGATGTGAGTATGGTTGCTCCCGGCATTCCCCACTGGCAGAACTTTCAGAAGAGCAAAACTGGAACATGGCTCCAGCCACCGAGCAGGCTCAGAGCTGGCGTTCAGGGGTGGGGACTGAACCCAGGGTGGGCAGAACGCAAGAACTGATGGCGAACCCGGGTCTGTCCTGAACCGGCGCAGGGTTCTTGGGCGTCGGGGGCGTGGTCGGGCGTACTCCAGGGCCCAAGGAGAAGAGCCTGGGCGGGGCCTAGTCTTGAGGGAGGGACCTAATGTTACCGAGCTGGCCGAAGACAAGGGCCAGAGGCCGGTAGGAACCAGTGGCTACTGGATCCCAAGGCCACTCCAGATCCTTTGGCTCTGAAAGCTAAGTCTGGCCTTGGGTCAGAATGTTTAGGTTTGGATTAGGGAGTTTAAACCGCGACACTACAGATTTGGGTTAGAATTCTGATCCTTTTGCTAACTCGTTACGTTGTCCTATTCAATTGTCCAGTTCTCTGGGCCTCGGTTTCTTTTATGAAGTCAGAGCATGGGAGTGCCCTGCAAAGTGTGGACTGCTGATTCCCCTAACCAAAGTTTACTGGGAAATGGAGCCTGGTAAAACTTCGTCTCACATACCCTGGGTGTGTTGTCAGGAGAGGGACCAGTGCTTGGAAAATAGACATCATGCTGGGAAAGGGTCAGAGAAAGAGGAAGACTTTCAATAAGGATTGACACAGTGGTTTTACAGATGGCACAGATAGGATCGCTGAGTCGTAGTAGAGTCATGGGCACCTAAGAACATCAAGCCTGCAGCTTCCTGGGCTCAGGCTAGCGTCTCAGGCATCTGCATGTTGAACAAGTTACAAATATGCCCCTTTGAAAACTTGAAGATTTGAGTGTCTGAAGGACTCTTTTCTGGGATTCTCTCAGTGAAGGAGATGTATGCAATCTGCCTGAGTCGGGGTACCCAGTTAACACCACCCCGCCCTACCTTCTTAAACGGAAGATTTCCCACGCCTAACTAAGGTGAGGGTCGTTTATCAAGAATCCCATCTGAACAGGAAGGTGAGATTCAAGGGGAGGAACCAGCTTGCCGAGGAGTCACGAAGTCAGAGGCGAGTCAGAGTTCAGCGCAGGTTCAAGGACTCCGGGTTCAGCACTCTCTCCTAAGCCTCCTCCATGCGCCTGCGTTAAGGGGTGCGAGTCTGTCCTCACAGAAGGGGAGCCTGGCTTGAGTCCTAGACGGTGAAGGTCCTCACTACCTATCACCCCGATCCGGCTCTGTGCGGATCTGCAGGTTGGAGACCGATTCAGGATGACAGCGACCGGGTTCCAGACTCTGGGCTCCCGCTGGAGGCGGAGCCATACCGAAGTGACAGGAGAACGCACCAATGGGACGATGGCTTTAGGCCTGCGAGCCAATCTAGGGATGGGGGCGCGGAGCAGGCAGGGAGGCGGGACGCAGGAGCGGCGGAGACCCCCGGAGTCTGTTCGCTCGGTCCCACCCCCACGGTCGGCCCCAGCCCTGGGAGACCGAGCTGCTGCTCGCATATGAGGGCAGTGCGCCGCAGAGATCCGGGCTGGCGGCTCCAAGCGTGCAGGGAGGGTGGACTTCGGGTCCAACCTGCCACCCCACCAACCCCAGGCCTCGGGGTTCCCCCTGCCCCGGCCTCCGCCTGCTGCCACTACCCCAGCCTCTTCAACCGAGCTCGGCGCCCCGGATTAAGTAAGTGCTGAGGTCGCCGCTTCTGTGCAAGGATGGAGGAATCCGAGTGGCGGAGACAGGGATAGGGACTGGGGCAGGGAAGACTGGAGGACCTGGCAGAGACGGATACGCGAGTTCTTGGAGGTTGCAGAGCCCACCCTTTCACCCTAGTAACCCCTTTTTCTCATGAGACTCGTAGGCTGTCTCAGAAAGTGGTGAGCGAGACCCCTTTTGCCCTCTTGGATGGAGGAGTCAACCGAGTTTAGAGTAAAAATTAAGGGTCCAATCCAAGGTCACGCCTGGTGTCAGTAGCAGAACCCAAAAGAGAACCCAGCCTAGCTGGAGGGAGATTGTTGTGAGGGATGAGTTTGCCCCTAATTCTCCTGTCCTTCTGCCAGCCTTGTCTCTCCATAAGGGTCCCCGATGCATTTGTGTGCACCCCATACAACCCGTGCATCTGCACACACACCTCCACGCACAAGCACAGAGTGGTAAGAGCTACACATCCACTGCTCCCCCGGGCCTGCCTGTTTGCAGCTTGATTGAGTTGCTTGTCCACCCCACCTTACCCAGCAGGGTCCTCTGGTCTGGAAAGGCCTAAGCCACACCCTGAACTGGACACTTCTACACTCTGCTCCCAGGGGAGGAGGGTGTGCCTCAAAGTGGATATGCCTCTCTCACCTTTCTTCCCATCCCTGGCAGCCTCCAGGTGAGGAGTTCAAGCCCCCTAATAGGTTTCAGAAAAGCTCTAGTCTGAGAACCCGACTTTCCACTTCTCTTCCTGTATGTATGCTCCCTGAGCAACCACACCTCTCCCACAGCTGCCTGCCACGCTCTCCTCCCAGAACAGCCTGAACAAGCCATCAGGCTGTGGCCAGAGGTCTCTGTGACTCTGTCTTCTCTATGTTGTCCAGAATGATATGACTATTTATTGGCCACATGCTGTGTGTAGAGGGAGGGGTCTGTGCTGAGCTAAGCCTTTTTCCTAGGGACAAGTTTATTCTAGCCTCCTGTGGCAATGCTCCTAATATCCCAACCTCAGCCTTGGGAAAACTGAGTCTTCCCTAAGATTATCTCATTAGATGGTTGAGCTGAAATTCAAAGCCAGTTCTGTCTGACTGGAGCAAGTATTTTCCTCTAGAAAAGGGGGAAGCTGTGGGTTTCGGTTTGTTAGTTTTCTTCAAGAATTGGGGTAGGTGCAGGAGAGGGCCATTTCCTTGCAAAGTTCCACTACCTTTCACATTTTTAAGATGTAATCACCTTACCCATAGACAGAAGTGGGTGGGGCTTTATTTCTTATCCAGAAGTCTAGCATGAGGCATTGGTGGTTCAGTGATAGAATTCTTACCTTCCATGTAGGTTCAATTCCCGGTCTGTATTGCATGCACAGTCACCACCTGTCTGTCAGGAGAAGCTTGTGCAATGCTATGATGTTGATGATTTCGGTGGCGCTTCCAGACTGAGATGAGCTAGGAGGGAAGACTGATCCTCTTCTGACTATCAGCCAATAAAACCTCCATAGATCACACCTGGCTGATCTGCAACCCATGAAAGGGATGGCGTGGGACCAGGCAATGCTTCATTCTGTTGTGCATGCAATGTGCATGAGTCAGAGGCTGACTCACAAATGCTACCATCACCACCAACACATCCACATAAAACTTTGGCTATATATAAAGTGTGCATCTGAACTTGCCCTTGCCTTCAAACTTTCATTTCCCCCTTGTCTTCAGAAACTTGAGACCTCGTCTCATCTCCAAGCCACCATCCTAAACCTCATGTGCTATTTTTCCTTTCCAGCATCCCAGAAGGCAGCGAGTTCCCTCCTTTGTCTAAGGAGGTGGCAAAGGCAGAGCACCCCTAATGTAGGAAGTGATTGGGACACTGATTGGCTACGGGCAGTCTCTCCACCAGGCCCCCCCTCAGCAGCAGCATGAACTCCAGGATCCTGTCTTCTAGGGGCTGGTTCAGTAGCCGCCCACCAACCTCTGAACATGACCTGGAGCCTGCCACAGATGGGCCAACATCTGTGACCACCACCCTCAACCCAGAAGCCACCAGCTTTAATGGCACCAGAATCCCAGACACAGTTGGTGGCACAGCTGGTGTGGGCACAATGCTTCTGTCCTTTGGAATCATCACAGTGATTGGTCTGGCAGTAGCTATGGTAAGAGTGAGGGCAAACTGGATGGCCCAGGTACCCCTTCAGTTGGGAGAGGGATGGCCAGTGCTTGCATTTACAGGAAACCCAATCAGAGTGCGATTGTCCATTAATGACAGTGCAGTTTCTCCCTCCGCCAGGGATTTTTCCATTAGGGTCTAGAGACCAGAAAGGCTGCCTCTAACTGGAAGAACCAGAGAAGGTTCTGAATATATGATGCTTTGAGAACAGGAAGGCCACATAGAAGTTTGAAAGGAGGGCTTTTCAGGTGAAGGGTCTTGATGGGCCAATTTGGAGACTGGCAGGAGATTGTAGGCTTCCAAATCTGAATGGGACGCTCCAAGCATGACAGGCAGCAGAAGTGTTCATTCATTCCCTTGACAATTCTTTACTGTGTGCCAGCCTTGGTCTAGGTTATAGAGATGCAACAGAATCTGGAGAGACAAGGTCTTACCGTGTATACTTAATGTGGATGGAAAACATAAAACCCCCTCAGGAAGTCTATGGGAATTGGAGTAGTTAGGGACAGCTGAGGAGGCTTCATTAGAGCTGGGACCTCAAGGTGGAAACTTGACCTCTGTGTTGTGGAAAGTAGCAAAATTGGTCAGCCATCAGGACTAAGATGAGCTGGGGTGAGGCCTGCAGGTATCCTTTCGTTATATGCACATGGCTTCCAGATCTTCTGTTCACCCTGAAGATGTTAGTTACCCCTGAGATGACGCATGCACCCCTGGCATGTCACTAGGGGTCACTGCAGATTGTCCAGGATGAAACCAGGGAAGGCAGAGTGCACTTCAAATCTCCCTTAATGCTTTGCTAGTGTTCTGCCCAGTGCCCTAGATCCTCAGGCTCTGATTCCTGGCCTTAGACTCGGAGTTTGTTGTTCCAACAAATAGGGCTGTGCATGGACCATCTACAGCCTGGCTGGAGCTGCTGTTAAAACAAGGTTGCCATATGGGCCCTGCAGGCTCCGGATCACTGCCAGGGAACTGCCTGCCAGCAAGCAGGACCAGCACACAACCTATGGACATTGAAGCCGGGTCTGAGAGGTCTGCCAGGCTGGGAGTGGGAGCAGGACGCCACACAGTTAAGCAGACTGGGACACCCTAACCAAGGGCATGCGGGACTGTGAATCTGTCCTTGTAAATATCATCTGAAGATTTCCTTCATCCTTGGCTCTGGAGAATGTCTGGAGGGTCTGGGTTGGTAGCCTCTCCTAAAGCAGAAAGGTAGGGAGGTTGTTAGGGTAAAGGCCGTGGAGGGCAGGAAATATCTCCTGTGCCCAGAGGACAGGTCCAGAGGCAGCTTTTCAGTGCTGCTTCCTCTGCCTTCAAGTCCTGGGCTGGACCCTGCTGGGTCCAGGAGCATATGAGTGCCAGGCTGGCTTCATAGGAGGAACAAGCATTTGGTGTCAGCAGGAACCCTGTGGGAGAGTTTCCTGGAGGAGGTGGGGCTGAAGCTGGACAGTAAGTGGAGGGAGGGGGCAGGATTTAAAAAGTGTGAGGTGTATCTGCAGTTAGGGCAGGAAGAGAGCTGGGGCAAAGTTATGAATGTTAAAGAAATGTCCTGGCTTCTCCTGAAGATCCGTCTATGTGACAGAGTAAGAAGAGGAAGAGGGGTTTGGGGCAAGGACTAAGTGGCCAGAAAGCAAGGGGCCCTGAGGGTGGACTGGGCCAGAAAACCCCAGAGCTCCTGCTGTGTTCCACCCACAAGAGAGGGGTTTTCTTACGGCCCTCTGGAACAATTGGAGAGCAAAAGGCATCCTAGCTTCTTCCCAGGCTTTTGAGGTCCTCCAGGAGTGGGCAGTAGGAGCAGTTCTGGGCCAGGGTCAAACTGTGAATGGGCTACAAAGGTTGTGGAAACCAAAAAAATATTGGGACAAACCCTAAGGATGTGGCTTTCTCCCACACAGAAGTAGGTACACTGATGTTCAGTAAGTGGCAGCCGGGGGAGAAGCCGAATGGTGGCAGAGGTCCCTGGCATCCCCTCTCTGCAGTTGCCAGGCCTTTCCCTTGCCTCCTTCCTCATAGTGTTTCATAGGGAGTTTCCTGCTCTAGTCAAGAGAGCTTAGACGATTTCTCAGGCTCAGGCCTTCGTCTTCAAGCTGTATATATAACATGGGACAAGACCCAGGGCCTTCTGGGCATCAGAGTTCTAAGGGGTCATCCTGAGCTAATGTCACCAGCCTATCAGGGGAACACCAAGAAATCCAGCCCAGAGATTTGTGTAGAGCCAGTGCCTTACCAATTGTGGCCATTACCCATCCCCTCTTCTTTTAGCTCATAAGCAGCTTTGTGTCTGGGGAACTGGGGTGGTTTTGGTTAGAGCAGCAGTGGTAAGGGATTCTGACATCTTCCCCACCCCCTTCGGCTTTGAGGAGTCAGAGGCAGGTGGTGAGTGGCTGGAAGCAGGAGCCTACAGGCCTGGGCTGACTGAGATATTCCAAGGCTGGGCTTCTAGAAGACAGGCCTTGACTCTTACCTCCACCTCTTGTCCCCACCTCTGCTCTGGTCCATGCCAGTATCTAACCCATGTCAAAGGAGAACATAGATGCAGGACCCAGTAGGCGTTCTGAGGACAAGGGGCCCCACAGGTCATCACGCAGCAACTTCAGCATGCTACTTGGCCTGAGGGACTGCTGAGCCCCTCAGGGCCTCCATTTCTGGCCATTTGACAGAGCTCTTTCTCTTGCAGGTTTTATACATCAGGAAGAAGAAGAGGTAACTCCCCAGGTGTCACTCTAAACCCCAGCCTGCCAGCAGTGCTGGACGAGACTCCAGGGGTGGGGGGTGGGGGTGAGAAAGGAGAAGCAGCCTCCTCTGTAGCCCTTCTGCCCTGGTCAGAGAGTCAAGGCCTCCTCCAGCTACTCCGGGTTGGGTGTGGCCACTTTCAGGGGGAGCTGATCCTCGTCTTACTCCCTAGGACCTCACACAGCAGGCAGGTGGGTGTGAGGATTATGGGTGACCGGATGATGACCAGATTAGAGATGCCCAAGGAGTGGAGAGAAGGTTGGAATTACTCCTACCCAGCTGCCCCGCCTCTCCAAACTATCCGGAGCTGCCTGCCACTGACCAACTCTGTCCCCTCGAAGGCTGGGGATCCCAGCAGGGCCTTAGCCTTGGGAGTCCCCAGAGGCCCCGCAGTTAACAGCTCCAGGAATGAGTAGCCTCTTCCTCTCAGGCCACTTGTCTGAAAGACAGACTCAGCCCTATAGATGCAGAAACTAATTTTCTTGAATCCCAAGTGCAATCTGAGGCTCCCTAAGTGTGACTGAGGGCTCTGAGTCAGCCCCTTGCCTGGTAAGGCCTGGAGGGTCTCTGGAAGGGAAGTAGTCTACCTTGTCCCCAGCAGCTTCTGTCCCCCTGAGTCCAGGCTGGAGAAACTACGCCACCAGCTGATGCCCATGTACAACTTCGACCCCACGGAAGAGCAGGACGAGCTGGAGCAGGAGCTGCTGGAGCACGGGCGGGATGCTGCCTCTGTGCAGGCCGCTGCCTCGGCCCAGGCCGCGCAGGGCAAGGTGGGCGTCAGCCGGACTACTTACCCAGCCTGCAGCCCGTTCACACACCCTGACACCCCCTCCTCCGTCCCCATCTAGCTCCCAAGCACCTGCCGTGAGCTCAGGCCACAGTTGTGGGTGTACAGTTTGTCATGTTTGTTTAAAAACTGGTAAGATTACACTATGGTGATCTAGACTTCCCTCAATGAGGTCAGTGACAGTCTGAGAATCCAGCCCAACTCTAGCTTCGATAGACTGGTGATCCTAGAATCCCATTGGTCTCTCTGAGCCTCAGCTTTCTCATCTGCAGATGAAAATCGTAATTCCTGGCTTGTGTATGTCACACACTGGGAGTTGGGGGCAGGGAGTCTAGGCTCTGCCTGTCTCTGAGGTTCCCTTTTTGGAAGGGGCCGAAAGTGGAATGAGACCCTTGGACAGTGGTTGGTGGGTTCCTAGCGTTTGATAGACCCCAGGCAGGTGGAGATCCCAGCTGGCCTCAATTCCTGTGTCTGAAGGGCTGGACACTGTGTGGCCATCCTCCTGGACCACTAGCCCGTCTGACCATTTGCCATCAGCCTCCCAAATCCCTAAGGGCCAGAATGAGAAGGCAGGCTTCCCTAAGGCCCCCAGCCTTTTTATTTCTATATTTGCTTTGCTTTCACATGCTCCTGGAGGGGTCTGGCACACCAGGTTTAGGAGACTGGGCTCAGGAAAAGTCCAGGCTGGGAGTCCAATGACATGCTGGTACTGCCACCTGTTCTGAGTGACTTGGGTCAGGTTACTCTTGGAATAGTTAGAAAATTGGCTTGAGATCATTGGTCCATCCAGCTCAGGGGACTATTTGACTTTTGTTTCGTATCTGTCACTCTGCTGTGACCTGGGCATGCAGAGATAAACCCCTGTGCTGGGGGAGGGTGGTATGTGCATGATGAGGTCAGTCCTGAGCTCGCAGGGAAGCTGGCCAGCCTCACTGGGCATGGCAGTGGGGAGGAGTCATGTAAGCCAGGTCATATTTCAAACTGAGCTTGCAGAGAGGGCATTCCAGGCAAAAGGCATAGCTCTCACCCAGCCCAACAGACACCAGGAAGTGAGGGTGGAGGTGACCGGGCCAAAGGGAGCTTGTCCTTATTCAAGAATGCTGATGCCCTTGTCTGTCTCCCCACAGACCACTCTACCCTCCCAGGGCCCGATGCAGAGGCCCAGCCGGCTGGTGTTCACTGATGTAGCCAATGCCATCCACGCATAAGCGGACAGTTCTGATGGTGACATTCGCCACAGTGCCCACACGGCTGCCCACTCCCTGATTGTCAAGACCTGCTCAGGACCTGCCCTGTGGAGGCAGGAGAGGGCCAGGCCAGCCCCAGCTGTTCTGCAGCCCCACCTGCTGACTTTCCAGGCTCCAAAAGAAAGACCCCTGGCACCTTGCCACTGACCTTGCTGAGGTGGTGAGGATCCTGTGCAAACCTCACATCAGAAGGATCAAGGGTCACAGGTGGCTTCCTTGTCTTCTCCCTAGACCACTCACTTCAGAGTTTGCTCCTCTGGATGTGAAAGAAATGGGGGGAGACAGGGTGTGGGAGAGAGAAAGGAAGAGTGGGGAGGGGTCCTTCTATCAGGGAGAGTTCTGTTTGGAATCTGGAACCTTTTCTGGAGGGATGGGGAGGTAAGCACTCAGGTCACAGGTACAGGATGGGCAGGTACCTCTTCTCAAGCCTGTGAGCCCAGGGACCTACTCCAAGTGCCCAGTGGGCAAAAACACCCGGAGAGGGCCTGATGGTGCTCAGGGTCCACCTTTATCACAGAGGGCCTGGGAGGCGCCCAGCCTGCCCTTCCTGGTAGTCAGTTGTTTGCTGGAGCCAAGCTAGGGTGGGAGATGGGGGGGGGGAAAGAAGTAAGGAGGCAGGTGTAGAGGGATGCAGCCCCTTAGATGTACTGAGAGACCGTGTGTGTGTGTGTGTGTGTGTGTGTGTGTGTGTGTGTGTGTAGTGTGTGTGTGTTCCCAGCTCAAGGCAGGGAGAACCCTCTGATTTGCCCCACTCTGCAAGTCTACCCCACCCCATAGCATGTAGAGGGGAGCTGGGGTGGGCCACCTTCAACATTCACGGACTCCAGGGAGCAGAGGGGCCAAGGCGCAGGTTCCACTGCTGACTTGTCTGCTCACAGGGTCAGAAACACTGGACTTGATCACCTGGAAACAAGCGCTGGCCAGGGGTTAGGGGAAGGCAGCAGGTTCAGTGAGGAAGGGAAGGGGTTAGGGAAACAGACACAAGAGATCTAGTTTGGTCTGGGGTTCCTCTACCTCTACCCCATCAAAGGCTCATAGAAGGGGCCCCTCAGTGCTTCTAGAGTAAAGAAGGGGTCTCTGCACTTGGTCGCCCCCTCAGCCTTGGTGGGTCAAGGCCATCTAGGCCAGGTATTGGGCAGCGGTGGATGGCCGGAGCTGGGTTGTTTATACAAGTGGGTATGCATGACCACCATCATTGTCCTGTTCTGACTAGAAGGGACACAAGGAGGCGTGTGTCTGCCTTCTGTTGGACAGATATCTTCTATCAGGGGGTGAGGACGTGGGATAACTGCAGGGGGGGGAATTCTGAGTTTGTCACCCCTCAAGATTCTATAAATACATTAGCACTCGAGGCAATTTTGGATGCACAGAAGCTGTAATTTCAGCATCTCTATGTGAGAGCATTAAAGATGTAATTAAGATGTTTACACAAAGGGAGTGTTGAGCCTGTGGCACTTGGGGTGTGGAAACCCCATGAGGAGACAAGGAGAGCGGGGATCACCAGGAGAGTCACTTGGGTGCCAGTGCTGAGGGGCAGCCCAGTTGGGTTTTCCTGTCTCTCCCAGGGTATATGTATCTGGCCTTGGGTTCAAGGCTGATTCAGGGCCTCGTTGTCTTAACTATGGGGTATAGTCACAATTCCTGCTGTTCCCATAAGTGCAGAGGACCTGATAGGACCATGGCGGGGGGGTGGTGGTGGTCAGGGGCCAACAGGGTGTGACAACCCAGAACTCACAGCATCTGGGTTTGAAACAATAGGGAGCCAAATCTTGTGACCTTTCCCTGAACAAGACATGAGAAAGGGGGGAAGTTGTTAGGTGTTTGTGGGGTGTGTGTGTGTGTGTAAACCACCTTCAGGGCTCTGGGAGGTTTTGGGGCAAATGATACTAGGGTTGATCAACCATCCAGAATTCCCCAGGATTGCCTCAGTTGAGGTGATAAACATCACACAAACCAGGCCGCTAAGTGGCATCTAGACCTTCCTTCAGAAAGCTTCAGGGACATAAGGAGGGGTAAGCCCCCTAGTTTCAAGGTGGAGGGCTGGACCTCAGGTAGGGGCAGAGGCTTGGGTAAAGGTGAAGACCAGGTGCTCCACATGCCACTCACGCTGGGACCAGCCAGCCAGTATTCTCAGTGACAGCTGTGGTTTTGGGAAGGTAGGCTGGCAGAAGGATTCCCGAGAGGCATGAAGTGAGGTGATTAGACTAACCACTGCTATCTCATGGGGGCTGCAGGATGCTTGTCTGGAAGATCCTGAAGAAAAGGAGTAGAGCTGGCAGCCAGGGGCTGGGATGGAGGGCTCCATGAAGAATGAGAAACCTCTCCTGCTGCCTGTCCTAGGCCTCTTTCTCAGTATGCCAGTGGCTGGACTGGACAAGGCACTGGACACAGGGCCTTTGTTTCCATGGGCCAACAGGCTGCCACCTCATCTCTTCTCCCCTCACAGCCTCCTCTTCTTCCCTTCCACCTCACTTTCTGTTTTCTATCTCTCTTTCTCAGATCCAGAATGAAAAACTCTCAGGCCTTCCCCAGAGCATGACATCAGTAAATATTAGGGTGAAAGGTCATGGTTGACATGTCCTCCTAGTGGTCTCAAGGCTGGTAAACTGACAGAACTCTCCTCACTGCCTCAGTCAGCTGGAGTGAGACAGAGTTGCCACTGACACTACATCTGAAACTAGCTGTTAAATAGGGTGGTCATGGATTTAATTGTGTCCTATCACTGCACCCCTCGCCCCCCAGTATGTGTCAACTTAGCTGCCCCATGATTCTCAGCGATTTAGTAGTTATTTAACAAAGCAATCATCCTCCAGGATGTGATCAGGCAATCAATTTTAAGGATTTTTTTTTAATTAATTTAGTTTGTAATTTTAAGGATATTTGAGTGGAATGTAAGCCCTGACTCAATCAAATGGGGTGTGGCCTATATCTTTCAAGAAATGAAGGGAGAGAAAAGCAAGAGAGGGACCACAGTACCACCTACAAAGAAGAACCGGGAGTGGAACCCAGGATTCCTTTGCTGAGAACCTCCTAGACCCAGGAGAAGACTGTTGCCAAGACATGAGGAGACTCAAGGGATGCAAGGTGTCCAGATGCTAAGAGGAAACCAGGGCCTTCCCCAGAGCTGACAGAAACAAGAAAGTCTCCTAGAGCCAACCCCTCGAGTTTGGACTTCTAACCTCCTAAACTGTGAGAAAATAAATTTCTGTTGAAGCCTACCACTTGTATTTCTTACAGGCACACTAAACAACAAAGACAGTGGCCCTCTAACTTGTATTTTTTTACAGCTGCACTAGATAACAAAGACAATGGCCCTCTAAGAAATGCCTTCTTTTTTTTTTTGTTTTTTTTGGCTGAGTACAGTGTACTTTATTGATGGTACATGACAGGATGGGCCTTCTGCAACACGCACACACAGAGTGAGACCCCTTCCCATGAATAGCAACCAGGGCTTTGGGTCAGAAGCTGCAGCAGCTTGCAGTGGGTGGCATCAAGATGGATGTGGATGGATGCCTTCAAAAGAGGCCATCTTCTTATTAATAAAGAGAAGTGTCACCTTCAAACCTAAGTGAATAAAATAATCCCATTGCCTGGCTGCAGGAAAATGTTGGAAACGACTTCTGAATATAAAGGGACATTCTCGTGGAGGGAAGCTCAGAAACTCCAGGAGTGCAGTTTGATCTTGCTGTGGGTTTCTCCCAGAAATATTACTGAGTGCCGACTGTGTGCATGGCACCACTATCTCGTCAGTGAACCAGCCCGTCCACAGTGTCATTTCCATTCCAGAAGGGAGGAGATAGATACCAGCATGCGTGTGTATATGTGTGTGTATTTATTTGTAGGCATTTCTTTAGGAATATACCAATAAGAAGGAGAATTGAAGCCTTTGAGCTGTGGTGCTGGAGAAGAGTATGGGCTGCTAGGAGAACAAACAGGTTCATCCTAGAAAGAGTGAAACAGGCTGCTCCTTGGAGACAAGAATTCTGAAGCTTTGTCTGACATACTTTGGGCATGTTGCAAGGAGGGACCAGTCCTTGGAGAGGGATGTCAGGCTTAGGAGAGTGGAGAGACAGTGCAAGAGAGAAAGACCATTGATGAGATGGATTATTTCAGTGGCTCAGGTAATGGGTAGGTGTCTCAGAGACAATAAGATTAGCACAGGATAGAACAGGGTATAGAGCTGTTGTACATAGGGTTGCTATGAGTCGCAAGCAGCTTGATGGCACATAACAACAACAACAACAACAACTTTAAAAAATGTGGAGAAAGAAATAATGGGAGTTTCAAAGGCTGGGGGCAGACACACCTGCCTCACTCCATTCAACTACACCCATCAGCAGGTGTTGGCATGGAGGGTTTTATCAGGAGATGAGGGCACCGTGGCACTGCTGCCTACCTGGTCAGCCCTGCTTCCTCGTCAGGGCTCAGCTCTGCTTTTCTGGACACTGACTTCTCAGCCCCTGGGCTTCTACCTTTCAGGCATCTCTCACCTTGGCTACAGAGGTCCACAGGACACTCTCAAGGACATTCCTTCTCCCTGTCTTTCATCTCATGACTCTAACTCCCATTTTCTAGGAATGGGGACATGACCACCTTCTCCAAAGTCTTCTGATGATCAGACTGAGTCCTGTGCATCTTTTCTTACAGTCGACTCTACTGTCCTATTTCTTAGAAGCAGCTACTGATATTCTACCTTGAGCTGTCCCTGTGGTCTTAACTGGGAGGAAGTGTAGAGAGGGGCGGCACATGTCTTAGCCCTTGGGATTGACCAACCCCTAGGACCACTGGTGCTGGGAGATGAGGGGTATATCCACCCAGCTGTTTCTATCCACCTTTTCAGTCCCTAGTGCCCCTCTGTTGGAGGCCTGAAAGTCTGACTTAGACAAGGTGGCTGGAGCCAGCCCCTTATCCTGGGTAATAGAAGGGACACCATCATCATCAACGCAGGTCATTTGTTGTGT